CAAGATCAGGTTTATTCTGAAGACCAAGTTTATTCTGTTAAGCATTTTACATTTTCTAGAGGAATATGTCAAGAATATGTTATACATTCTTTAAGAATACCTCACATTCTTTTAAAGAATACATCACATTCTTTATGAAAACTAATTCTTTTGATGTAATTTTTAATAAGAATGGTTTGATTTTTCATTATTTTTCCGTTGTTGTAATTATTCATTATTCTATTGTCGTTTCATCGAATGAAGAGTTTTCTTAAGTATTATTTCAAATTTAGAAAATTCTTCCTTTGTTGTTGCTTTATTTCTTTTAAAAATATTTTTTGTTTTATAAACATTCTTTAAGAATGCTTTTTGATTAAGATTCTGATTTTGGAGGGACCTACAGGGAGAAAAATAAAACAAAAACTTTGGCTCTATCTTTTCTAAGTTTTGAATTGGGAATATGACTTATTAAGGTAATTAACTTTTCGGTATGTTCACATCTGGATAACTATCTTTTTTTTGTACACATCTAGGTAACAAACTTGTTGGAAGTGTTCACATATGACCATTATGACCTGCTATAGCAGGTTAAATCCTAGATGTGAACGCTTTCAACAAGTTCGTTACCTAGATGTGTACAAAAAAAATAGTTACCCAAAGACTATTGTGCCCTTATTAATTTATTTTTTTTAATTAATTTTCTTGTTTATATACTTATGCTTTATATATTTAAGAAAATTTAGTAGACCCCACATATCTGTATCTCCTCACCATCCCATCTCTCATCATTCTCAACTTCTATTTATTTTCCATCTTTAGTGATATCGACGTCTTCATCATCCCTTCTTTTTTCGGTCTTTCAACTCCGTCGAATCAACACCACAACCCACTAAAGATGAAGAGACAGTAGGTTATGGTGTTGGTTCGCCAGAGTTGAAGTACCTAAAAAAGAAGGATGGTGAAGACGTCAATGTTACTAAAGATGGAAAAGAAATACAAGTTGAGGACGATGAGAGATGAGATGGTGACCGTTAAGACCCAATATAAAGTTCTCAAATGTGGTTTCAGGTTTACGGTGAGGAGATACACATATGTGGGGTATATTAATTTTTTTAAATATATAAAAAATAAATACATAAATAAGAAAAATAATTAAAAAATAAATTAATAAGAGAAAAATAGTCTTTTTAGGTAAGACAGGGACCAAGCGCGTAACAAAAATAAACAGTAGGGACCATCCGAGTTAAAAAAATAAATTAATTAAAAAATAAACAGTAGGGATCATCCGAGGAGAGATACAAATATGTGGAGTCTATTATATTTTTTAAATATGTAAAAAATAAATACATAAATAAGAAAATTAATTAAAAAATAAATTAATAAGGGCACAATAGTCTTTTTAGGAAAGACAGGGACCAAACGCGCAACAAAAATAAACAATAGGGACCATGCAAGTTAAAAAAATAAGTTAGGGACCACAAACATAAATTCTCCCAAACCACAGGGACCATTCGTGTAATTTAATTTTTACTTTTCGTTTTGTTCATATTTGGGTAACTATTTTTTTGTACACATCTAGGTAACGAACTTGTTGAAAGCGTTCACATCTAGGATTTAACCTGCTATAGCAGGTCATAATGGTCATATGTGAACACTTCCAAGTTTGTTACCTAGATATGTACAAAAAAAAGATAGCTACCCAGATGTGAACATACCGAAAAGTTAATTACCTTAATAAGTCATATTCCCTTTTGAATTTTTCGTAGTTATTGAATTTTGAATTTTGAAAGAATATACAAATATTCTTCAAGTATTATAGAAAATAATTAATATAGTTAACTTGATTTGAATAAGTTTCTTAAATTTGTGGATTTGGCTGGTTACTTCCCTAAAATTAGGATATAGAAAAAGTCAATATTACTTCTAAAATGATTTTAAAGTTGAATCCATAATTTTTTTTTATAATCTAAAAAAAATTAAAAAATTCTATATTATCTGTAAATAATTGGTCCAGAATTATCCTTACGTCCACACAATAGATGTTATATATATATATATATATATATATATATATATATATATATATATATATATATATATATGACAAAACTGCACAAATGGTCCCTGTGGTTAACTGAAAATTGACACTTTGATCCAAAAAGGTTTGGACTAGCACCAGAGGTCCAAAATTTTTATTTTCTTGCGAGCTTGGTCCAGGTTTTTATAAACTTTTTCATAATGACTATTTTGCTCTTATTTTTTTTCTTTTTTAGTTTTTTTATTATTTAAATACTTTTTTTGATTAAAAGAAAAAATAAAAAAGAAAATTTGCATTTTCTATTTTATTTTTATAATTTTTCATAACAAAATAAAAAAAAAATCTCTCTCTCCCTCTCTCTCTCTCTAACGTCACAAATCCATCTCTTCTTCTCATTTATATCCTACCAGTCAAAGAAAGTGGTTATCCCTCCTCCTTCTTCTTCATTTTCGAGCAAGAGAACTCCACCGAAGGTGGAGCTGTTTTCCAGCCACCAAGAAACACCCACCATCACCGGTGCCACCTCCCTCTCCCTTCCTCCGTTGTTTTTTTCCCTTCCGAGAACAACCCACCATTTCACCATTCACCACCACTGTAACCACCGAAAACCACCACTCCAACCACCCACTTCCTTCTGTTCTGTCAAACAAACACCAACCAAAAGCCCCAGCTACTGTTGCAGTCGGAGTTCTTCCTCAGCCACCGCAAGACACCACCATCTCTAATCTCTTTTTTTTTCTGTTGAATTGGAACGAGCTCAAGCTCCAACCATCGCCTCGCTGCCCTCCCTCTCGTTGAGCTCGTCGGAACAGCAAGGAACGAAGCAGCAGAAGCCGTCAGAGCAACCCCTGCCACCACCGACGTCGCTGCTGTGGAACCACTGTTGTTGATTGCTGCTGTGGAACGAAGCAGCAGAAGCCGTCGGAGCAACCCCATGTGTCTCCCCCTCGATTTCTAGTCATTAAAACGCCCCATTTGAAAACCCTAGCCGCCAAGAAACCCTAACTTTCAGATCTCGATCTCCTTTCTCTCGTGGAGGTTCAAATGAAGGGCAGCAACGATCGAAGCGGGTGTTTGGGGTGGTGTTACCTGACCAATGGGAGGTGGAGGGGCAGCCTAGGCCGACGATAACCGTCGATTTATTCTTCTTTGGCCGGTGGTAAGCAAGAAACGAGAGAGTGTGAGAGAGAGAAAGAGAGAGAGAGAGAGAGAGAGAGAGAGAGAGAAAGAGATTTTTCATTTTCATTTTTTTTATTTTGTTATAAAAAATTATAAAAATAAAATAGAAAATGCAAATTTTCTTTTTTCTTTTTTATTTTAATCAAAAAAAGTATTTAAATAATAATAAAAAGCTGAAAAAGAAAAAAAAGGGCAAAATAGTCATTATGAAAAAGTTTATAGAAAACTGGACCAAACTCGCAACAAAATGAAAAGTTTGGACCTCTGGTGCTAGTCCAAACCTTTTTGGATCAAAGTAGTAATTTTCAGCTAACCATAGGGACCATTTGTGCAGTTTTATCTCTCTCTCACTCACTCTCTCTCTCTCTCTCTCTGTATATATATATATATATATATATATATATATATATATATATATGCTTAGGTTCTATGGAAAACAAAAAACCCTAAAAAAACCATAAAAATCATAAAAATACATAAAAAAAATACTTAGAGATCACAAATCTTTTTTTTGGACTTTATAGGTACAAAAATCGCAACTTTATTAACAAATTCGCTGAAAAATATTTTGAAAAAAAAAGCAAAAAAAAAATCGATTTTAAATTTTTTTTTTTCAGCGAATTTGTTAATAAAGTTGTGATTTTTGTACTTATAAAGTCAAAAAAAAGATTTGTGATCTCTAAGTATTTTTTTATGCATTTTTATGATTTTTTTTTTCAAATAACTCTTTCATATATATATATATATATATATATATATATATATATATATATATATATATATATATATATATATATATATATATAATTGGTTGACTTCAATCAGAATTTACCCTAAACTGAATGGTTAAAAGGTAAATTTCAAGGGTGAATATTGTAATATTGTGCCAACCGCCGTTGGGGCGTATCAGGTATAGTGGGATTATCAATCCATATCTACAAATGCTTCTCCTAGCTAGTGGCCCATTTTTTACAAAAATACGTTTACTAATCACTACTCTCTTTTTACTTATCTCTAAAGTTCCATACCCACCACCCTTCTATATCGTCCTATCCTGTCATCCTCATAACTCATGCACTTTTTGAAAACGGTAAAGTGTGTATGTGTGATATTATACTCTCAAATAAGGTGGATCTATTTGGTCATGTTCAAATATCATTCCGAGGCTCTCAAGCCATTTCTTTATAGCAAATATAGAGATATAGCAAAAATTTATAATGTATTGAGGAAAAGATCATATGAATTATGGGTAGACCGCTAGAAAATGAAAGTGTGGTTGCATAACTAGTTTCAACAAGAACTTTTATGACGACACAACGCAATGGTGCGTTATAACTATGTGGAGGCTTTATAACCAAGGAACACCCCCACATGGCGTGATGTGGATGTGCATGGTGAAATTAAAGGTGAGGCATACCACAAACCTTCACGTTCCTCTTTTCTTTCATTTGCTTATGCTTATTTGACGTTGATTACACGACTCCCTTCTAAAGTAGTGGAGAGAAGAAACTTACCTATAAACACCACTCCCTTCTAAAGTAGCGGGAGAAACGAAAGTTACGTGGGTGGAGTGTATACACCTACCTAGTAGCCTTAATATCAACAAAATAAGTCTGGGAGAGTTTGTTCTGTTAGACTGTATATTATCTTATGGTCCACTCGTCTTTATTATCGTCAATTACTCTTTAGAACTCTACTTAATTACATATTCACGTTTCTTCTTTAGGTACGTATCATTATCAGACTTCCCTTTAAGTTTCAACTAACTTTTCACACACACACACACACACATACACACCGAACAATGGAATCTATGACGGTGGTTCTGTATCCTTCTCCGGGAATAGGCCACCTGGTTTCCATGGTGGAGCTCGGAAAGCTCATTCACACCCACCACCCTTTATTCTCTATCCTCATCCTCATAACTCCGGCACCTTTTGAAAACGGTTCCACCGATAAATACATCAAAACCGTCTCTGCCACCATCCCTTCCATCATGTTCCACCACCTCCCCACTATCGCTATTCCACCAGACTTGTCGTCTGATTTCGTCGCACTTAATTTCGCGATCCCACAGCTTTACAACCCAATTTTCCACAACACACTCGTAGCCATCTCGGAGAAATCCACCATCAAAGCTGTGATCCTTGATTTCTTTACCAACGCTGCTTTCCAAGTTGCTAAAAGCCTCCAGTTACCCACTTACTACTTCTATACCGGCGGCGCTTCCGGTCTCTGTGTGTTCTTATATATGCCCACCATCAACAACATCACTTCTGATTCTATTAAAGATCAAAATATTTACTTTGATATTCCTGGAGTGCCTCCTATCCATTCCTCCCATTTTCCCGCAGCTGTGGTTGATAAAAAAGGTAAAGCGTACCAGAACTTCATAAACACTGCCAGAAACATGGCAAAATCCTCCGGCATCATTGCGAACACCTTTGTTGGATTCGAAGAAAGAGCTGTTGCCAGTCTCCGGGACGGTAAATGCATCTCCGATGGTCCAACTCCGCCTATTTATTTCATCGGACCTTTGATCGCCGGTGGAAATCATGTGGATCCTAGCGAAAACGAGTGCTTAAAATGGTTGAACTCACAACCGAGTAAAAGTGTAGTGTTTTTATGCTTTGGGAGTTTGGGTGTTTTAAGAAAGAGCAGTTGAAGGAAATAGCGATTGGGTTGGAGAGAAGCAAGCAAAGATTTTTGTGGGTGGTGCGAGATCCGCCACCAGATGCAAGTAAAGAGCTCGATCTTGATGATATTCTTCCTGAAGGGTTTTTATCCAGGACGGCGGATAAGGGACTGGTGATAAAAAATTGGGCACCACAGCCGGTGATACTTGGTCATGAGTCGGTGGGTGGATTTGTGAGTCACTGTGGGTGGAACTCGGTGCTCGAAGCGGTGGCAGCTGGGGTGCCAATGGTCGCATGGCCATTGTATGCGGAGCAGAATATGAATCGGGTGTATTTGGTGGAAGAAATGAAGGTGGCACTGGCGGTGGATATGTCGTCGGATGGGTTTGTGACGGCGACGGCTGTGGAGGAAAAGGTGAAGGAGTTGATGGAGGGTGAAGAAGGGAGAGTGGTGAGGGAACAGATATTAGAGATGAGTGAAAGGGCAAAAGCTGCGACGGAGGACGATGGCTCCTCCCGAGTAGAGTTTTTTAAATTAACCAATTCTTGGACCGCCCTGTAGCGTGATCGGCTGCTGTTCAATGTGTTTTAAGGATATCACCTTGGTTTTTAATATCGAGTCTTTTAAGTTGTAATTTTTCAATTTGTTTATCCCTTTTTTTTCGTTTTTATGGAGTCATGGCTTCTTCAAAAATATTAGTATTATGTCTTCTAGTCTTCTACTATTCTACTATTTTAGGATTTGAGTGAGATTGAAAGTTTTAATAAGACTAAACTGCACTAATGGTTCTGTGGTTTGTTTAAATTTGTCATTTTGGTCAAACACAAGTTTGAACTAGCACCATAGGTCCAAAGTTTTCATTTTGTTGTAAGTTTGGTCCAATTTGCATTTAAGGTTTTTATAATGACGATTTTGTTCTTACTTTTTTCTTTTTTTAGTTTTTTTATTTATTTTAAAAACTTTTCTGATTAAAAAAAAAATAAAAAAGAAATTACTTCTCTCTCTCTATATATATATATATATATATATATATATATATATAACCAAAAGAAGTCCTATAAAACATATTAAAATTTTGGTAATTCAAGAACACTGTTCATTTGCTTCTTTCCTCTTGCTCGTGCTACAGTTTGAAGTATTATCATGTCCATTGAAACTGTCTACGTTACTACATATGAAAATTGGTACTTCAAGAACACCGCTACTACATTGGCCTTGCTTGGATGATAACGAATTTCACATTCGTAATCATTTAGTAGCTCCACTCATCGTCGTTGCCTCATGTTTAGTTCCTTTTGATCGAAAATGTGCTGGAGACTTTTATGGTCAGTGAAGACGGTGCATTTGGTGCCGTAGAGGTAATGTCTTTAGATCTTAAAGGTGAACACTACTGCTCCTAGCTCGAGGTCATGTGTCGTGTCTTTCACTTCGTGCGTCTTAAGATGTCTCGAGGCATAGGCTATGACTTTTCCCCGTTGCATAAGCACACACCCAAAACCCTGATTCGAAGCGTCACAATAGAACACAAAGTCATCGGCTCCTTCTGGAAGAGACAAGATCGGGGCGCTGCATAGGGCTTGTTTCAGTGTCTGGAAAGCAGCTTCTTGTTTTTCCTCCCAGTTGAAGGTCACTCCTTTTTGCATCAAAGTAGTGAGTGGCTTAGAGATCTTTGAGAAGTTCTGAATAAATCTTTTGTAGTAGCCAGCAAGACCTAATAACTGGCGGATCTCCGTCGGTGTTCTTGGTGCCTTCCAGTTCTCGATTGACTTGATTTTGGAGGGATCCACATGTATTCCCTCTTTATTGACCACATAACCCAAGAAGTCCACTTCTCGGATCCAAAATTTACATTTGGACAACTTAACATATAGCTTTTCCGTCCTCAATGTCTCCAGGATTTGTCGTAGGTGTTGGCTGTGCTCTTCCTTACTTCACGAATAGATCAATATGTCATCGATGTATACAATGACAAATTTATCTAAGTAAGGTCGGCATACTTGATTCATCAGGTCCATGAACACAGGTGGTGCATTCGACAATTCGAAGGGCATCACCACGAACTCGTAGTGACCGTAGCGAGTCCGAAACGCCGTTTTGGGAATATCTTCCTCCTAGACACGTAGTTGGTGGTAACCCAACCTCATGTCGATTTTTGAGAAGTAGCACGCTCCCTGAAGTTGGTCGAATAGGTCATCGATCCGGGGTCAGGGGTATCAGTTTTTAATAGTGAGTTTGTTCAACTCACGGTAATCGATGCACATACGAAACGATCTGTCTTTCTTCTTAACGAACATAATCGGTGCTCCCCAAGGTGAGAAGCTTGGTCGGATAAATCCTTTGTTCAGTAGTTCGTTTAGTTGACTAGATAATTCCTACATTTCGGCCGGGGCCAATCGATATGGGTACTTGGCGATGGGGTTGGCTCCAAGAATTAAGTCGATGCGAAATTCGACTTGTCGCGTAGGAGGTACTCCCGGAAGGTCATCGGGAAATACATCGGGAAAGTCTCGGACTTTCGGAATATCCTTGATATCCTTTACCTCCTTATCCTTTTCAACAACGTGTGCTAGGAATACATGGTACTTCTTCCGCAGATAGGTTTGAGCCTTAATGCACGAGACGATTTTTAGACTCGAACTAGGTTTGTCGCCGTAGATGACGAGGGTCTCGTTGTTCGGAAAGTTGAGTCGAATTGCTTTTTCGTAACATAAGATATCAACGTGGTGAGGACTTAACCAATCCATACCAACGATGATGTCGAAACTCCTTATTGTAACAGGCATTAAATCGATTTGAAATGAATGATTGTTTAGAGTTAATGTGCACCCGGTGTACACGTCTTTAGTACTTTCAGTTTTACCATTTGCCATTTCTACAATAAATATTTCGTTGAGTGTTTTTGGTTTTTGGTTGAGTATGTTTTTAAATTTGTGGCTTACGAAACTTCTCTCTGCACCACTATCGAAGAGCACGTATGCATAAGAGTTATTGAGAAGGAACGTACCGCTAACCACCGTGGGATCCTTCAGGGCTTCCTCGTGCCCTAACGTCAGAACTCTTCCTGTACCCCCAACATTCCTGTTATTGGCCTTTGGGCATTCCCTCCTGAAGTGCCCCGTTTCTCCGCACCCGTAGCATGTTCGGCCTATTCCGGTAGATGTGGTTGGGACTGTTTGTTGAGCTGGCTCTTTACAAAAACGGAAAGTGTATCCCTTGTTGTTGCAGTTTGAGCAGTGCATCTCCCTACAAGCTCCAACATGGTGGAAGTTGCACTTGTTACATTTGGGCAAGGTTCCAGCATATTGTTTTGATGGTGCTGGTGTGGCCGGAACAGTAACAGCGTGCACTGCCACTACTTGTTGTTACTTGGCAGGCTCGTGCGTTGATTTTCCCTTCTGTTTGTTCCAAGGTCTCCTCTTGTTGTCACTCCCTTTACTGGTTCGGGAATGGGGGTCATGAAGCCCCGGCGAACTCCGTGATCTACGAGTGTTCATGCCAGACGTTTGGCACTATCAAAGGTAGTGGGTTTCAAAGCTATTACACTTCCTTGGATCTGAGGTGATAGTCCCCAGAGGTAACGTTCTACCTTTTTGCTTTCCGGGGTGACCATCCCAGGACAAAGTACAGCCAAGTCACTGAACCTCGTGGTGTATGCTGTTATATCAGAACCTTCCATGGTGAGGCTCCAAAGTTCTTGCTCCAATTGATGTATTTCGCTCCTTGGGTAATACTCTGCTAGCATCAAGATTTTTAGATCCTCCCAGCTCAACGCGTTAGCCACGTGAAGTGTTAGATATTTGACCTGGCTATTCCACCAAGAGAGGGCCCCATCGGTGAAAGTGCAGGCAGCGTATTTGACTTTATTCTCTTCTGGACAAGCACATATTTCGAATACTGACTCAGTTTTCTCAAACCACCTGGTTAAGGCGATGAAACCTCTGTCACCATAAAATGCTTTGGGTTTGCAGTTCGAGAAGTCCATATAGGAGCATCCTCTTGGTCGACCATGACTGTCGCCGTGGTTGGAACTATGATTACCGATTCCAGGCCCAGAGGTACCATTGGAGCTAAACTGTGCTATAGCAGCGGTTACAGCAGCTGTCACTGTAGCTTGAAACAGGTCTTTTTAAACAGGTCTACAATACATCAATGTTTAAAGGAAAAATCTTGACAGCATTACGATCCCTTGAATAGCGTAGACACTAAATCATAGGGTCGAATTTACATATAGATAAGAGTAGTATTAACACATATCTGAAGTCCTAGTTTATATCAAAATGTGAGTAGTGTAAAAACTACTCGTGGCGGGTGCTACCCTGAGTACTGGACTCTGCCACCTCATGTTCTGCTTCCCTCAAACGTCGCTCCAGTGTAGCCTGATGCTCCCGAAGTGCTCTACTTTCAGCACAGGCAACAGTCATTTCTTCTTGAAGAGTCTCGGTGTGGTTCCTAGTCTGATCATGGTCTTCGTCCAGACGACGGAGACGGACTGCAGTGATCTCGGCGGTAGCACCAACCTCCATGATTTGGTTGGCAGATGCCCTTGCCTGTCCACCCTGATTAGCGATGCGTAGAATTATGACCGGGAGTGCCCTGTCTGCTGATCCTCCTTTGGAGAGGTTATAGAAGCCTCTTTCCATCCCGTAAGGAGGGCGTTGGCCTTGTTCTTGGCTCCATCTTTGTAAGTCTACGACCCATCTTGGCGTCGGGCCATGGAAGTTTGTCTGGCTGCGGGGTACCAGACAGCTTGCGGTGGATTGTAGACCTCTGGATCTGAGTCGGTGCCTTCCGAATCTTCTTCATCTTCGTCTTCCATTGGTTCTAGTTCTTCTTCGGAGTCCTCCTCTGGATCTTCCACGATCCAACCTTCGTTTCCTTGATTAGGAAGATATGGATCTCCAGGTAAGTGGAATCCTGCCATAAAGTCTATTCGTGAAATAGAGGTAAGAGGTACATAGAGAATTTGAGTGTGTGGTTTAATGTATTACAAAAATACTCCTATAGTATTTTAAGTTTAGGGGTTCTTTGTATGGTTTGTTGGTAAGTTTAGACTCGTTGTTCACTATGACTATTCCTCGGCATACATTGGTCACATCTTGGATAAATATAGTTGATCAGGCTATATTCATCCCAAAAACTGATTACATACCTCGAGACTTATTCGTAGTGTTCAACTTGTCTTAATACTTATTGTTTTATTATTGATATGACTCTAAACTAGTAAGTATGCTTGTATTTATACTTTTATAAAAATATCCTAATATTTTAAAGTCTACTTGTACAAAAATGTTTTGTCAGAGAGTTTTTGTCCCATTGTATTTATAGTTTGTATATCTTATGTGGTTCGATATACTTAGTTCACTATAAACAATGCTCTGATACCAATCTGTCACACCCCAAAACCAGGATGGCGGAAACGTCAGGGGGTGGATGACTTTCATGTATTGTATCATAACAGTTGAATAATAGTAAAGAAAGCAAACATGACCATCATATATATAATTGGAAAAGTTACATCATTGTAAAGATTACATGTTTCAAAAGCCAATTATAATATAATG